AAATTATACCCGACGATATGCAAAGTTCATCTTTAAGTTTCTCATATGAACTAAATTCTGCTTGATTTACTCCTACCATCTTTGAACTCTCAAACCATCTACCTGTTTCAATGGCTTGAATTACTGCTCGAAGAGTAATGTCTTCTCTTGTAGCTTCTTCCAGATCTTTCCTGCTGATTGTTTTTGGAACCGAGTTCTGTGTAACGTAATTAACAAATTCTTCTGCTACTTTCTCTTGCCGGTTGTTTAGTTTCTCATCAGGTAAGGGATGACGTGAGAGGAAATCTGCAGGATTTTCAGTTCCCGGTTGAAAACAGATTTCAAAATCATATGGTTGCAATCGCAAGGCCCATCGTTCTAATCTCGCAGATGGCTTTGATGATGGATTTGTGTATATTTTCACCAGCGGCTTGTGATCAGTGACGATGGTGAATTTTCCTCAAACAAATATAAATGAAAGTGTTCGCAGGCCCATACTATAGCTAAAGCTTCTTTTCCAAGTGAGAATAATTTTTCTCTGTGGTAGTTAGTGATTTACTAGCGTAAGCAATTATTTTCCTTTTTCTTCTCCCTTTTCCTCTGCGCCAAGACTGCTGCAATACCAACTGGACTAGCATCTGTGAAGACCTCCGTATCACTATCCGGATCAAAATACGCACTTTCTGGCCCATCTGTTAATGCTTTCCGTAGGGCTTTCATTGTGTCTTCTTGTTCTCTTGTCCACACGAATGGGGCATCTTTCTTGATAAGTCGACGTAACGGCTCCGTAATTGTGGCATAATGTGGAATAAATCGACAGCAAAATTGGTCATGCCTAACAAACTTCGTACTTCTCCTACATCTTTAGGATTTGTGCATTCCTTAATTGCTCTCACTTTATTGGGATCCGGCACAATACCATTCTCTGAGAACACATACCCTTGGAATATTAAATTTCTTTTCTTAAACTGACATTTCTCTTTCTTAAGAGTTAGTCCTCGATCTTTAATTCGTTGTAATACCGCGTTCAAATTTGCATCGTGATCTTTCTCGTCTACGCCAAACACCATAATGTCATCACTGATATTAATCACGCCTCTCAGTCCATTCAACGTTTCTCTGATGGCATTTTGGAATATCTCTGCAGCACAGTTTATTCCAAAATTCAAACGTCGAAATCTCCGTAGACCAATGTGTGTTGAGAAGGTTGTCAAATATCTTGATTCTGCATCGAGCTCTAACTGGTTATAGCTTTGATTTAAGTCCAATTTGCTAAACCATACAGCACCATTTAGATCACTTATAATTTCACCAATCGTCGGAGTCAAATGTCGTTCTCTCTTTATTGCTTTGTTTACTTGTCGCATATCTATACAAACTCGGACCTCCCCTTTTTGTTTTGGTACGACCACGACTGGTGAAACCCAAGGTGTTGGTCCATCCGTTTTCTCTATGACTCCGCGTTCTTCGTCTCGTTTTAACTGTTTCTCCAAGTCTTTTCTCACATGAAACGGCACCCGACGATGAGGTTGTGCGACAGGTTGTACGTCCTTATCTACGTGTAGATGAACTTGAAACCCTTTCAATTTTCCCAGTCCTTGAAAGACTTCTTGATATTTGTTAATTAGCTCTTCCACTTTGGTATCTTCTCTCACTTTTTCTTGTGCCTTTTCTTTAACGGGTTCCTGTTTAGACTTTGTAGTGCCTTCTATGGATGCAACTATTTGTACCAGGCCCAATTTTGAGAACTTTTCCAGCTTATCAAGCAACCCGTATTCCCATTAACAACAAAAATGTCTCCAACCCATATAGTTTATCGGTTTCGACCACACACTGACATTTTCCTTTAATTGATAGTTGTTTCTCCGACCCATAAGGAAGATTTTCTCATTTGCTTCCTGCAATATTGGCTTTTTCTTCAATTTGTTGAAATTCACTTCATCCAAGAGATTTACGCTGGAACCGGTATCTGCCATGACTGACACAGGAGTACCATTTATCTTAACTTTAAATTTCGGCAGCTTTTGTTGCGCGGTCAACGTTGAAAATACATATTCATCTTCCATACTTGATTCAGACGTTATTTCTTGCACCGTATTCACTTGTCGAGGTCTTACTTGATTACGTTTTATCTGTCCGTTTCGCTTTGTTGATTCAGCGCGAGAACTTTGATAATTGTCTTGCATCAGCTCTTTGCCTCTTCGATTCTCATGGCAACAAACTTGAAAATGATTCCATTTTAAACACTGTCGACATTTCTTTCCATATGCCGGGCAATTTGTTTTCCCTGGACGATGCTCACGAGCACAAAATTTGCATTTGATCTTCGATGAATATTCGAAAGCATTTGAGGTTTATCCGTGGGCGTCTTGATTTGCTTTCTTTTATGCCAAATTCGATTCGTGCTTTCGATGCCTTCTGCTTGTGTTTTTGACATCTCCATTGTTTTCCCATTTGTATTAATTTCTCCATCGTTATTTCTGGGTCTGCTAACGCTTTTCTCCGCAATTTTGAAGATGAACCATTTTGTATGATCTGAGTTTTAATCTCTCTGCTTTCTTCATGAAATTCGCAGGATTTGGCCAATTGTTTCAATCTCGTATAGTACGCGGATATGTTTTCTCCTGGGAGTTGTTTCGCTTGACGAAACTTATAAACTTCGAATTCTATATTTTTCTGTGGAGTGAAGTAATTTCGTAACGCTTTCTCCGCTTTTCTAAATACATCTTCTCTATCTGGCTCGTCGATTTCTAAAGTTTCGAATATCTCATTAACTTCTTCACCGACATAGTGCAGGAGCATCGCCTTCTTTCTTGCGGCGTTTGTGATGTTCATTGCCAACAACAAATTCTCCAGTCTTGATACGTATTTTCCCCAAGCTTTTCTAAGGTCGGGTTCTTCTAGGTTGAACGTCGGGAAGATAGGCAAAGCAGTCATGTTGGAAATGTAGTATCTTTCTCGGGATCAAATCGTATTTCTTCGTCCCTTAATAATCTTTGTCGCCAGATGTAATATTGTGAGATTTCTCCCTTTTATTGCTTAGTCATGTTACTTATATACAGATCATTACTTAATTATAATATACGTAGTATGACGTACGAAATACTAATAATCTGAATAATAACTATACTACAGTGACGAGGTAAAGAGAGACATTTGCAAGTTGTGCTGTTTTCCTTATCACCTTGGTTCTTATCTCATCTGTTATTTGTTGAATACTTCATTTTATATTAATTTAAAATAGATATTCTTATGGATATCATTTAATAATGATTATGTATCACGTGATGTCCAGAATTATTTGATTGCCCATCTGTATTAATAAAGTTATAATGTTATTCAATTTCAGATTGATGAGGAAATCAGACAATTTCAGTTTTTTAATTATTTAATACGACGAAACTTTGCATAAATAAGCCTTAGCATCAACAAAAAACATTTGCGAAGCTACAAAGATTATCTAAAGGTGCATTTAAAATGTGGAACTATAAGATTTAAAAAGAAATCTTCGATAGGTTACCTAACTTTGAGAATTTGGCAATGAAGATACTCCTTCTCTCAGTGGTCTGTTGTTTTTTCTACCACTAGGAGGTGTGACTGCACTCTCAAGTTAACCACTCAGTATTTTACTTCACAGTAATTGAGTAGAAACTTCTGTGCAAATTCCTAATGACAAACACTGACTCCAGCATTTAGAACGTATCGAATTTCACGATCCCTTCACCTTTTTTATTCTGATATTTCTTCAGACGGCGTCTTGTTCGTCACTGTTAACAATTCAACCTCTTTATTTTTATGCATACTGTGGCTACCGTATGAATTGCCGCTTTGGACGGAATGGGGAGCAGGAAGTGACGTTTAAAAGGGTGTTGCTGTTTAATAAGAGAAAAAGACAAATTGTTGTAGTTGAATGTTGTACGTAGGTTTTACAGTGTTCGACAATGAACTAAATACTCCAATATCGGAATCAAATATAGGAAAGACCGGAAACGAAACAATCAACGGTTTGTTTAAGACTCGTATCCGGTTAATAAACACTTTAATAACCAATTAGGGATGGTTACAAGAAGGCATTCATGCTGGTGCAGCACTGGACGAAATCAAGAGACGCAAAAAACAATATGATGATAACTGGAAGGCGTTCGTTGACATTCACGAACAATACCTTGAATTAGTCGTCCAGGATGACGAAAGAGAAATAGCAAGTCGTAGCTACAAAGAACAGATCGCAAAAAGGGTGCATCTGGACGAAATGGTCAGATCTTGGCAAAGGAATGCCAAGCTAGAAGCAAAGCAACGAGGAGAAGAGTTTAGTTTGCCTTCATTAATAACAAGTAGAAGCTTTTCAAGTAAGTCAAGGAGCCACAGCTTCAAGTCTTCAACAGTGTCCAGAAAGAAAGAAAAGTTAGCCCTTGCACAGCTGAAGAGAGATCAGTTAGCGAAATAACATGAACTTGAAAGGAAAATGGCAGAATTAAGATTTGAAAAGGAGGCCATGGAAGCCAAAATGGAAAAAGAGCGAGCGTTGGCGAGCCTTAACGCTTGCCGCGAAGAAGCAGAGATCAAACTCGAAGAAGACCACGGTAAGACCACGACGGTGACGGTATCAAAACTAACAAAAAACCTGTCACCGTTTGCAAAGGCGTATGTTCTGCAAAGTTCGCTAGTACAAAGAAAAGGCATGCCCTCCCAGCCAAGGAATGTAAGGGACTTAGTGAAAATTATTGAAGTGGATCAATCCGAACCACAAATAAAACAGTCTGAGGTACCAACGCAGAAAACTCAAACTTATCCAGATCAGACTGTAAGATCGTCGGAAGACGAATCATAATCAACTCCTATGACGAACTTAATTGAACAAAAAACCAAACAGATCCATGTAAAGGATGGAGGAGGAGGAGACGAGTTAGTGAAAGCCTTGAGACAAGTCGATTCCATGCCAAAAATCAAATATATGCACTTTGAGGGTGATGCAATAAATTATGCCACCTTCATGCATGAGACTTGCTTAGAAAAGTACAATGCAGATAATTCTACTAGACTTACCTGCCCATGAAGGTTATAATATCGCTAAGGACACACTGTATAAAAATTTTGGCAAACCGCACACAATTGCAAAGGCTCACGTTCTAAAGTTGATGAATTTGCCGCTATTGAAGCAAGCAGATGGACCAAGTTTTTTGCAGTTAACTCGACATCTGGAAGTGGCAAACAGAACCGTCGCTAGTATGGGGCCAGAATATGAAAGCGAGCTGGACCACATGAACACCCTACGCGAATTAAATCGTAAGCTACCACTATTTATGAGAGTTAGGTGGACAGAATGTGCGGGCTCTATTATCGAATCTGGTTCTAGACCTAAATTCAAAGATTTCCTTCTGTTTGTGAAGAAAAGAGCCAAACTCGTGAAAAATGAATTCGGAAAAGATCTCTGTTCTGGCGTCGTAAGGAAAGATGGAGGCAAGAGATTAGATGGGAAAAAGGGTCCCTCTGTGATAACTAGTTCGTTTGCAGCTGGAGCGTACAAACGAGAGAACGGTAGAGATGGAAATTTTACAGAAAGGAGAACATCAAACATGAAATGCCTCATTTGTCAAGAAGGCCATAGGATATGGAAATGCGATAAGTTTAAGAAACTTCCTTATAACGAAAAGAAGAAATTTGTTCAAGAACATGAACTTTGTTTCAGGTGTTTCACTAGGGGGCATTATGCCAGATCTTGTCTCAAGACTGATCTCAAATGTCGAGTAGAGGGATGCGGAAAGGGCCACAATATGTTGCTTCATCCACCACAAACGAATACGTCCAGCAAGGAGGATTCAAAGGACAAACTGTGTGAAGGAAATAGCACAAACAAGAAGAGGGAACCGAACAAAGATGGAAGTCCAGATGAAGTAAAGGTAGCAGTTGCAACTGGGGCCGGAAACCGCGTGTGCCTTAGCGTTGTCCCACTGAAAGTGAAAGCAAGGGGAAAAATCGATCGTCAGTCAGAACTTACGCACTAATGGATAGCGGTTCAGAAGTAACACTTTGTCATAAACGTTTGCAAAATCAACTTAAGGAAGAGCAGCAGTTCGACGCGTAGTACGAAGTTGCCTAGCTTGTAAAAGAAGAAAGGCTCGTTTGGGTGAGCAGCTAATGTCAGATCTACCTGAAAGCCGAGTGACACCTCAAAAACCTCCTTTTACTATAGTAGGAATCGATTATTTTGGACCCATCCTGGTGAAAAGTGGTAGATCGTTGGTGAAAAGATATGGTTGCCTTTTCACATGTCTCACGACCCGAGCAATCCATATAGAAATAGCTCATTCCTTGGTACAGACTCGATGATCAACGCTCTCAGGAGATTTATTAGCATCCGAGCAAATCAGGAGTGATAGAGGAACAAATTTTGTGAGTGCTAACAAGGAATTGAACAAAGGAATTGAAGAATGGGATCAAAATAAAGTGGAAAAATTTTGTACGCAAAGAAGAATGAAGTGGCACTTCAACCCGCCTTCAGCGTGCCATATGGGAGGCGTATGGAGAGAATGATACGATCTGTTAGACAAATCCTCAAAGCAATTCTCAAAAAACAAGTAGTTTCAGGAACGAAGTCCTGCAAACCGTGACCACAGAGGTGGTTCTAATCCTGAATTCAAAACCTCTCACGCGCAACAGTGACAGTCCTGAAGATGACGATCCCCTAACTCCAAACCACTTATTGCATTTACGAGCAAGTACTAGCTTACTCCCGGGATTATTTGAGAAAAATGATTTGTGTTGTAAGAATTGGAAGCAGGCTCAATATTTGGCAAATGTTTTTTGGCGTAGATGGCTTAAAGAATACTTACCAACATTAATGGAGAGAAAGAAATGGTATACACCGAGACGGAATCTTAAAAAAGGAGATCTAGTACTTGTAGCTGAGGAAAACTACCCAAGGGGACAATAGCCGTTAGGTCTCGTTATAGAAGCAATAGCAAGTAATAACGGTATGTGCGGACAGCGAAGGTAAAAACTAGTTCAACAGTATCGACCAGAGCCAAACATCAACGAAAGGGAGATTACAAGATAAACACGGTAACCTTGATCCGTCCCGTGATTAAATTATGTCTACTTGAGATGGACAATTGAAGTTTATAAATCTAAATAATTTAGAATTTAAGAGTTATGTTCTTGTTGTGTTATCCAGATTTAACGGTAGCTTAATATGGTTGTAAATGGATTGCTACGTTGCAATTTCCATTTAGGGGCTGGTGTGGCTACCGTATGAATTGCCACTTTGGACGGAATGGGGAGCAGGAAGGTGACGTTTAAAAGGGTGTTGTTGTTTAATAAGAGAAAAAGACAAATTGTTGTAGTTGAATGTTGTACGTGGGACCAAACGGTCCTTAACGTAATTTGAAAACAGTAATTTGAAGATAATAATTTGAAAATAAGAAATTTTTAATTTAGTTTATTCTTAAGTTGTATGACGACTTGATAGTAACATATACGTTGCGTTGGTTTTAAAAATTGCTTGATGTTTGTGTTGATTTTTGTTGAAATATATAAACATGACGAATTATTTCAGTGTTGCAGGACTGTCGAAATTTCTGCACATGCTCAGTTTTTTTGTAAATTACTGCTTAAGTATTGTCGTTTACTAGAAATGTTGTTTTTATTACGATTATTTCTAAACAGTTTTTTGATTTCATGAACTTATAAACAAAACTCATGTTTCATTACGCGGACAATTTTTTTGGTCACCCACTGTAGATGTGTCCTATCACTATGAGTGATAACACGTCAAAAATAACATCTTTTCTTTCAAATGTTGGCAAACAGAACATATGTTTGGTGATATAATGAACAAAAGACTCTCAAACTAGAGTTGAAAACTAGAGTTTTCGTTTAAACACGCTAGTGTAGTTTTTCATATAAACACTAAAGTTTTCTCACCGTTTGTTTCAGATGAACTATATTTTCTCCTATACACATATAAACAATAGTTTTCTCCTAAACACCATAGTTTTTCATAAAAACGCTATAGTTTTCCAGATATACTATAGTTTTCTTCTGTACACAATAGTTGTTCCTCATATAAACAATAGTTGTCTCCTAAACGCTGCAGTTTTCTCATAAAACTATAGTTGTCTCTTGAACACTATAGTTTTCCCAGATAACTATACTTTTCTACTATACACAATAGTTGTTCCTTATATAAACTGTAGTTTTCTACTATACACAATAGTTGTTCCTTACATAAACCATAGTTTTCTCATAAACGCCATAGTTTTCTCAAAATAATTACAGTTATCTCTTAAACACTGTAGTTTTCCACATAAACTATAGTTTTCTACTACAGACAGTAGTTGTTTTATATATCAACTATAGTTGTCTCAAAAACGCCACAGTTTTCTCATAACTATAGTTGTCTCCTAAACACACTATAGTTTTCCCAGATAAACTATATTTTTCCTTGATGAACTATAATTTTCTTATAAAAAATGTAGTTTTTTCCAAAAAAACTATAGTTTTTTGTTAGAAAAGAGTACTTATCAGTCTTTTATCAAAAAGAAGGCAATAAAATCTTGAACTACAGGGATTAATGATTAGAACCAGTGAACCAAAGTTTACACTGAGATATAACATACCTAAACGTGATGCTTTTTATAAATCTGTAAGTTGTGCAGGTTGGGGTGGGTCCAGTGGTCATGATGCACCAATGATTGCTTGCGATGCTTTGATGATGGCAAAAGATTCCTGGTTTCAATTTTGTTCTTTCTTTATCTTTCATGGTGGAGATAGTGACAGTACAGGAATATTGGCTGCAGCATGGTGGGGTGGTATATAGTATGAAAGAGGTACCCCTTGGAAATTATAAGTACTTGGAATATGGTCATAGGCTTATGGAGCTAGGTAAAAAATTACTGAATGTATCAAATAATATAAAAAACTAACAAGATAGTATTTATTTAACAAAATTTATGTCATAAAATTCTGTTATCCCAATATACTTTAGTACGTTTGTGAACCTAAAATAAAAATTAGTACTTAGTTATAACATAAAAACAAATTAATTTAGAAAAAAATCTAAAGGAGAATGTCAGATTCAGGGCATGGGCACTTCTAAGTTCTACTTAGGATGTTTCCTGGCCTGTAGAGTATGTTTATTGACTAGGTATCAGTGAAACTATATATAGACAAGAATCATTACATCTTTAGGTTCATTTTAACTCACAAAATGCAAACTGCAAACGTTTTGTTCATTACCAAAAATACCTTCTGAGGGAGAAAGGAGTTGAATTAAAATTAGGATTAACATAATTTGGAAGGTACAATTTTCTTTGAAACACGTTGCTAACAAAATATAACTGTAAAGCTTTGACATATTCCCGAGTTTCATAATACATCACACCAAGATTCTTTAAAAGACTCAGCGACATAAACCTGACTAGTTCCTGACGTTTTTTTGCGAATTTCCTTAGTTTTTTCGTGAAACTCTATAGCTTTGTCGTAATTTCCAGTTTTTTGAAACATCGCACCAAGATTGTTTAAAGACGCAGCGACATGAACATGATTTGGACCAAGCGATTGTTTTAGAATTTCCAGAGTTTTTTCTTGAACTTCTATAGCTTTATCGTAGTTTCCAGTTTTTTTAAGCACAGCACCAAGATTGTTCAAAGACCCAGCAACATCAACATGATTTGGACCTAACGATTGTTTTCGAATTTCCAGAGCTTGTTCGTAAAACTCTCTAGCTTTATTGTAATTTCCAGTTTTATCAAACAACATACCAAGATTGTTTAAAGATATAACGACATCAACATGACTTGGACCTGACGATTGTTTTTGAATTTCCAGAGCTTTTTTGTTAAGCTTTATAGCTTTGTCATAGTTTCCAGTTTTATAATTCACCAAACCAAGATTGTTTAAAGATTCAGCGACATCAACATGATATGGACCTAACGATTGTTTTCGAATTTCCAGAGCTTTTTCATGAAACTCTATAGCTTTGTCGTAGTTTCCAGTTTTTTCAAGTACAATACCAAGATTTTTTAAAGACGCAGCGACATTAACATGATTGGGACTTAACGATTGTTTTTGAATTTCCAGAGCTTTTTTGTTAAGCTCTATAGCTTTGTCGTAGTTTCCAGTATTAGCATACACATTAACAAGATCGTTTAAAGACGAGGCGACATCAACATGATTTGTACCTAACGATTGTTTTCGAATTTCCAGAGCTTTTTCGTAAAACTCTCTAGCCTTGTCGTAACTTCCAGTTTTAGCAAACACCATACCAAGATTGTTCAAAGACATAGCGACATCGACATGATTTGGACCTAAAGATTGTTTTTGAATTTCCAGAGCTTTTTTGTTAAGCTCTATAGCTTTGTCATAGTTTCCAGTTTTATAATACACCAAACCAAGATTGTTTAAAGACACTGCAATATCTACATGATTTGGACGTAACGATTGTTTTTGAATTTCCAGAGCTTTTTTGTTAAGCTCTATAGCTTTGTTGTAAATTCCAATATTAGAATACACATTACCAAGATCGTTGAAAGACGAGGCGACATCAACATGATTTGGACCTAAAGATTGTTTTCGAATTTCCAGAGCTTTTTTATGAAACTCTATAGCTTTGTTGTAGTTTCCAGTTTTTTCAAGTACAATACCAAGATTTTTTAAAGACATAGCGACATCAACATGATTTGGACCTAACGATGGTTTTTGAATTTCCAAAGCTTTTTCGTTAAACTCTATAGCTTTGTCGTAGTTTCCAGTTTTAGTAAACACCAAACCAAGATTGGCAAATGACGCAGCGACATCAACGTGATTTTGACCTAATGATTGTTTTTTAATTTCCAGAGCTTTTTCGATAAGCTCTATAGCTCTGTCATAGTTCCCAGTTTTATAATACACCAAACTAAGATTGTTTAAAGACCCAGCAACATCAATATGATTTGGACCTAACGATTGTTTTTGAATTTCTAGAGCTTTTTCGTAAAACTCTATAGCTTTATTGTAATTTCCAGTTTTATCAAACACCACACCAAGATTGTTTAAAGACCCAGCAACATCAAAATGATTTAGACCTAACGATTGTTTTTTAATTTCCAGAGCTTTTTCGTAAAACTCTCTAGCTTTGTCGTAGTTTCCAGTTTTACAAAACACCGTACCAAGATTGTTTAAAGACCAAGCGACATTAACATGATTTGGACCTAACGATTGTTTTTTAATTTCCAGAGCTTTTTCATAAAACTCTATAGCTTTGTCGTAGTTTCCAATTTTACTATACACCAAACCAAGATTATTTAAAGACCCAGCGACATTAACATGACATGGACCTAAAGATTGTTTTTCAATTTCCAAAGCCTTTTCATGATAACTTTTAGCTTTGTCATATTTTCCCATGTAATCGTATAAATTACCGAGCTCAGTAAAATACCAAGCTTTGTTAAATCTTAATTCTTCAGATTTAAATTCATCCAATAGTTCAAGAGCAAGATCGTATTTTCCAAAATGTCTTAATCTGTTAACAAAATATTGGAAAACTTGTAAAGTATTCATGTTGATTTTTGTCTTGTTGGTCTTTAATAATTGAAGAATTTTTTCAAGATGTGGCATCAATTTGCTTTCGTCGTCTCTATCTTTAAACTTGTAAAGTGCTTTAAATATTTGATCAAAGGTATGTTGATAAGAAGTCAAATTGCAGCCTTGCTCCATTTTATGTTCTTCATTCAACTGTTCAGATTGGAAAACAACGGTTGCTTTGTGAACAATGCGATGTAGACTAACGTCATTATTTTCTGAATGCAAGAACAATGAGCAGTCCTTTAAAGAAAGACATATATCTTCTTTTGAGTATTTGGTGTCAATTTCTTGAACATAAAAAACAATAATGTCTCGTGGTATAGGATCAAACGATATGATGGAAAAAAAGTTAATAACATTTGCCAATAATGACGATTCTTCAGCATTTTGTCTGACAGCTAAAAGTGAAGCTTGTAGCATACTTCTAGGATATACCGAGTTAAATTTCACAAAAGTGGCGTCCATGCTTTCTTCTTGTTCTGAAGATATTTTCTTTAAATATTGACCCCAAGTAAATGGGCAGTTTGCTTTGTTTACACGACTGATATAATAAACAGCAGCAGCCAAAGCCAGCGGTTGACGATCTAATGCGTTTGATACTTCATTTAACAATTGATCATCAGCATTTTCAATAGTGTAATGCTTCAACAGTTGAAAACATTCCCTATCATTCATTCCACTTCTGATAGAAATATGTTTGTTAAACTCATCTTCTTGAGGTACGGCATCTGTGTTCTGGATGGTTACTATGATTTGTCCATTTATCCACATGGGATCACCAACTTGTGGAAGTATTGAAGAAATTTTGCTGAGCTGTACTACGTTGTCTACAATGATCAACCAATTTTGCCAGAATTTTAAGCGTGTGGATACTAACGATCGCAAATTCTTCACTTTGTCTGTGATGGAACAGTTTTCATCTTCAAATTTTTTAATCATATCCTTGTCACAGTTTAAACGGTATCCAAGGTCACAGTAAGTTTTTAAAAGAGATTCCTCATTTTTTCCATCGAGAGTCATTACAAACGAAGTTTTATTTTTCCAATCAGACGTTATTTTTTCACAAACCTGTCTTGCAAGTTGTGATTTACCACTGCCAGGATTACCAGTGATGTAAAAATATGTCAGTTTATCATTGTTATCGTTCCTTAATTTTTCAAGATTGTTTGTAGTTTTATCTCGTAATTCAGTGCGTTCAACGAAAAAATGATTAGGTTTTGAAGGAAGAACTTGGAACGAATTAAAAGAGTTTCGATGATTTTTTATTTTATTGATTTCATCGAGAGAAAATTTCAAATCTTGAAATGATTTTTCAATGATATTGACTATTTTATTAAAATCATCATCTGAGCATTCCCCTTCATACCAATGTGCGTAATTGTTTCTTTCACCACGAAGTGCATGAAGAGCATCCTTTGTTTTTTTGTCAAGATGCTTTTTAATTGAATTTGAAAAAATTATTGCATCAAATAATATCGTACAGTCCCACTTACTGGTGTCTCCATCCTGATATTTTTGTCGTGTTTTTTGGTCTAATTTTCTTCCTGATTCTAAACTGTAAAATTTGTTGCCACTTTTGTGTGTATCATCCCATTCTCCATGAGATGATTTGTAGTGAATGTTCCATTGTTTGATGAAAAACGAAGCAAGTTCCTTTTGAACAATATTAATTATTTGCCTAATGTAAAATAGGTTTCTTTTTTCTCTTGATTCTATCTGCAAAAAATTGATGTATGTATCAACAATATTGAAATCAAGTACGTTTCTGGTAATGCGAAAAATAGTCTATAATGCGTTTATTCAAACATAACTTAGTAAATGTATTTGTTTTGCAACATGCTGCAACACATTATCGTTTTTTCCTTTGGCTACGAGGATTGAATGGTAATCGTAGAAACTTTTCATCAATTTGTAGAAGACCATAAACTACTAAATTAATAATCTTAGCTATCTTTGATAAATTTTACTTGAAACGAAAGTTTTTAATTTATGTTGATAAAATAGTATTTTTTGGGACTCATTTACGTAAAATCAGTTGTTGAATATTACTTTTCGGTTATGCTCAACTTTTTACGATGAGTATTTTAAATACTCTTAAAAACTTTAGTATTTTAATCACAATTTTATTGCATTTACAATTGTAATTGTTAACATAAAAATAATCAAAAGTCGCACCTGCATGTCAAAGAGCTACGTCATAAATCGTTTTTCAGCTTTTAGAAAAGCCTTTCCGTTTTCAAAATTCTATATATAGAAAGAGAAGAATGTTTGTGAGTCACTCCAATGATATGCTCAAACTGAATACGCGAAAATGTTTCAGCGATACTTCGATTTACTCGTTGATTGCGTGCCATTGGCCCGATTTATACTAGAGACGAATCATCCGTCTGGACGAACTTGGGCAAGAAAAACATAGTTCGTCTTTAAGTTCGTCTGTGTTTAAATACGGGCAAACAGACGGATCATCCGTCAAGACGAATTATCAGAATAGTTCGTCTGTTTAGACGAATTTGCATGGGTAGTTCGTCTTGACGCATCATCCGTCTGTGAGTATAAATGCGTACTGTGGACGAACTACCAAAACAAATGATACTTCGTTACTCGCTGTTAGCGGATTTCACCCATAATAGTCAATATGGCGGATAGAAGCAATGATCGTGTTCATGAAATGGTTCATGATTCGAACAAGAAAAATATGGCTAAGAAGGAGCGAGTTTGGACCGAAACTGAATTAAAATACTTTGCAATTGTACTAGCAGATGAAAAGAAACAGTATGCTGTTCAATTAGAAACGCTAGCATTAAAGAAGTCTGCAAACTTGTGTGTTTATGAAGAAATTGCAAAAGATCTTGAAACATACCTAAAATCTGACGAATTCAAAGAAGAAAGCAAACGTGAAAGAGAAAATTCGAAACTAAAATTGAAAGATACCCCCCTGGAAATTACTCCAGCTAGGCTCCGAGTTAAGTATAAGTTTCTTAGAAGTCAGTGGCGAAAATTTACAGATCGTGTTAAAAAGGGAAGCGGAAAGGCACCGATTGTTGAGCCAGAGTGGTTCACCATCATTAATCCAATATTTTCTGATACCATGGGAGATGCAGATGTTGCTTCCTGTAGTGGTGATGTTCTGTTATCTTACGAATCAGACAATTCATTGTCAGATTCAGACAAGGAGGATGAGAGAGTTGATAGACCAGATACACCTTTTAGTAATACCAGCGGCCTTAGCATTGAAGCAACTGATAATAGTGGCGATTATGATGTACTAAAAGCCAGTACAAACAGTAGCTCCAGCAGTAACACCAAAGGGAAACATAAAGCTAAACTTGAAATCAGACCTTTTTTTCAAAAAAGAGTAAAAAGCCAAGCACAAGCAATTCAGAATATGGCCAAGTCTTTTTCTGATATGGGAGAGATGCAACGAAAGCGTTCAGAGTTATTTTCTGAAGCTGAAAAGAAAAGGCAACAGGAGTTCTTAAATTTTCAAAGAGAACAAGCAGAGCTCAACAGGCAACACGAAATAAAGATGTTGGAAATGATCATGAAGTACAGTAGACCTTATCAATCAGAAGCCCCACATCTTCGCCCTCCAAATATCCAGATTGCTCACCAGCAGTCTCCTCACAACATGTATCCCTATGGTGGTTTTAATTTCAGTCAACTTGAATCTGAAGTACAAACCACACATGAGGGTACCACTATTGCAAGTCTAGGTATGCCAATGTCAAATCAGCATAACCAACCTTGGTATGAATGTAACTAAGTTAAGTGAAAAACAGCAGTGCATTAACTACATGGTCAGCATCAACAATTAAATAGTATAGTTTAGTTGTCAATTCCAAAGATTTGATGTTGTTTGTTTTTTATTTTTTCTGTGTTATAAAACTGAATCAATAATGTTAATTGAGTGTCAAAGTACCTATATATTGATGACAAATTGTGATAAATGCATGGAAACATTTAATTTACTTGTATATGCTTGTTAATTGGATGTTAATTGTGACTTTGGAAATATCAATGTAAAATATTCCTTTATTTGATTTTATTAATATTTTGATGCTGATATTTTTTCTGTTTTCATGTAATACAAAAAATATTGATATTTTTTCCATTAAGTGAACACATTCCAGTATATTTGTGTACAATGTATACATTGTACACAAATCAGAATGCCAGATGTATCATTGATTAAAATGAAATTTTTTTTGAAGGAAACAAATTTACAACAAATTTACAAGTATATTGCATAGGTATTTAACTTCATCAATAAACGTGAGTCTTACACTAAATGTTAATTTTCCCTGAGTTTTCCAGCTAAATACAAGTATATGTTTTATTCTGGTTAGGTTTGTTCTCTGTGTGAGAGTTAACTTTTGTAATAGTCTCTCTGGCCACAAACTACTGGCAGATGAGAAATAGCCAAATGCTTGAAAGACAGTTTGGTTAGTGATGCACCTCACTGAGGAAAATGCATATTAGAAGATGACTTATGTTGTAACAACAACAGATTTTTATGAAACACAAAAGCAAAAATTGCTAAACTATTAAACTATTAAAACTTATTCATAATTTATATGGCTCTTTCTTGCCGCAATGTCCATAGCCAATTAGTTATCATGCATCTTACATCTTCAGCTGCATTTGTTGCTTGGCCAGATCCATGAATGAGATTGAGCTGGTTTACTTCAAGGCGCCATCTGGGCTTACATGGATCATTTCTGTCAATGCAAATGTTAAGTAGCAAAATGCAAGTCATGATTAATATTTGAATATTATCCAAATGACATTCTGTCTTCTTGTACAAGATTCGCCATCTACCTTTAAGCATTCCATATGCATGCTCGGACACAACTCGGGCAGAACAAAGCCTCCTGTTGAAGTAACTTTTTTGGGGTTCTCGCATTCCTTCTTTGTATGGCTTAAGAAACCACGAGTGGGATGGAAAGGCTGAATCACCAACAGTTGTAAGTGGTATTTCTCCATAGGGTTGTAGGTTCAGTGAATTTTTTGGCAGCACTTTGCCATGTTCAATTTCTGAGTATACTTCACAATTCTTTAAAAGCCTTGAATCATGAGTTGAGCCAGGTGCACCTACTGCAGCAAACATAAACCTTTTATTATATCCAATAAACCCCATATTAGTAACAGAATATCGCTTCTTGTAACTATAAAAATTCTTCAATCTACTCGAAACATATACATGAAAGCCATCCCATGCCCCAACACATGGAAACTCCCAATTTTCAAGAAACCCTTGGAGTTCGTGTGTCCATTCATCTATTGTCTTTGGTAGGTAAATAAACCTGTCATACAAGATCTTGACCAGCACTTTGCAAACGTCCATGAAGATGCAATAAGCAGTTGATGCAGCAACACCAAATAAATCTCCTACTGTTAGATAGGTAACTCCATGTGCCAACCAATACAAACAAATTGCCAATTGTGTATCAAGAGTTGTTGGATGGGGTTTCATTCGAGTTGGTTGTTTAACAATTTCGTGACCAATTTCGTTTAGAAGAAAATCAAACGTCGCACGAGACACTCTGAAGCGCCTCTTGAATGCTGCATCACTCCAAGACTGATAGCCTTCAGACCACCAAGTATTTCTCCTGCGCTCATCAGGACGCCTGTCCTTCCTTTGTTTTCTAGTAAGAAAAATAACAGATGATGCTGCAGCAAGCGCTAGTTCGATCTCATCAGCTAATTCATCTTCGAAACGACGCTTTGCTCGTGTAACGCTCTCTCTTTGCCACAAAAATAATCTTTCTTCATTTAATTTTCTTTTTCGAGATAAATGCTTCACCAATTGCATTTCTGCCGCCATTTTGAATTTGAATTTTCCGCCATAGACGTTTGCTGCCGAGCCTCCGAATTGACAAGTTCGTCTCGTTCGTCTATATGAATTTTGTGTGGATAGTTCGTCTCGTGTTTATACTTAGACGGATGATCTGTCAGACGGATGATTCGTCCAGACGGATGATCCGTCTCTAGTATAAAAAGGGCCATTTACTTTACATTTCTCTATGGTCTCTACCGATTTACGAATAACGTTTGTGCCATGAAAAATGTGAAGTTATTAAAATGCTTTTGTAAAAAAACTCAAAAGATTTCAACGTCATTAGGTCCCGAGATATTGCTTCAAATGAATAGTAATTTTACTTCCATGTTTCATAAAAAGACATAAAACTGTTGCCTTCAAAATGTTCAAGGAATTTTACTTGTCACTACACTTAAGACTATGTTTGTGAATTTCAAATACTGGAGAAAAAACTTTTTGCGAGTTATTTCGATTCACTCGCAAAAAGCAAGTTATTTTATTTACTCGCAAACTTCTCACACTCGAGAGTGCCTCGCGACTGCATCGCGAGCCACTTGCTTAATCGTAACTTGTCACTCTTGAGTGTCTCGCAATTAACTCGCCCACTAGCCATTCGATACTCGCGAGTCAAGTCATGCTACTCGAGGTCGGTACTGTAGTCAAGGTCACTCAAACAGAGAAGGTGTATGCTGCAAAAGAATTTCCAAATTTAGAAGTATGGACTCATAGGTTTGCAACCTAAAGAACGTACAAAATTTCTAAATTTCTAAAGATAGTACAATGGAAGGAATGGTCAGTGTAAAGGATGATGTACTGAAGCATGTAAAGATAGAAAAACTACTGAAGCATGTGTAGATAGATTAACTACTGAAGCATGTGTAGATAGAAAAACTACTGAAGCATGTTTAGATAGAAAAACTACTGAAACATGGGTAGATAGAAAAACTACTGAAGCATGTGTAGATAGAAAAACTACTGAAGCATGTGAAGATAGAAAAACTACTGAAGCATGTGTAGATAGAAAAACTACTGAAGCATGTGTAGATGGTCTACTGAAGCATGTGTAGATGAAAAACTACTGAAGCATGTTTAGATAGAAAAACTACTGAAACATGGTTAGATAGAAAAACTACTGAAGCATGTGTAGTTAGAAAAATTACTGAAGCATGTGTAGGTAGAAAACTACTGAAGCATGTGTAGATAGAAAAACTACTGAAACATGTGTAGATAGAAAAACTACTGAAGCATGTTTACATAGAAAAACTACTGAAGCAGTTGTAGATAGAAAACTACTGAAGCATGTGTAGATAGAAAAACTACTGAAGCATGTGTAGTTAGAAAAAACTACTGAAACATGTGTGAGTGAAAACTACTAAGCATGTGAATGAAAAACTACTGAAACATGTGTAGATAGAAAAACTACTGAATCATGTGTGGATAGATTAACTACTGAAGCATGTGTAGATAGAAAAACTACTGAAGCATGTGTAGGTAGAAAAACTACTGAAGCATGTGTAAATAGATCAACTACTGAAAACATGTGTGATGAAAAACCACTGAAACATGTGTAGATGAAAAACTACTGAAGCATGTGTAGATAGAAAACTATGGTATGTGTAGATAGAAAACTACTGAAGAATGTGAATAGAAAAACTACTGAGCTTGTGTGAATGAAAAAATTACTAAAAGTAGGTAGATAAAACTACTGAATCATGTGAATAGTTAACTACTGAAGCATGTGTAGATAGAAAACTACTTAAGTATGTGTAGATGGAAAAACTACTGAAACATGTGTAGATAGAAAAAAGTACTGAAGCATGTGTAGTGAAAAACTACTGAATCATGTGTAGATAAGATTAACTACTAGGCATGTGTAGATAGATCAACTACTGAAGCATGTGTAGATAGAAAAACCACTGAAGCATGTGCAGATAGAAAAACTACTGAAGCATGTGTAGATAGAAAACTACTTAAGTATGTGTGAATGAAAAACTACTGAAACATGTGTGATAGAAAAAATTACTGAAGCATGTGTGATAGAAAACTACTGAATCATGTGAGATGGAGATTAACTACTGAAGCATGTGTGATGAAATAATGAAGCATGTGTAGGTAGAAAAACTACTGAAGCATGTGTGATAGATCAACTACTGAAGCATGTGTGATAGAAAAACCACTGAAGCATGTGTAGATAGAAAACTACTGAAGCATGTGTAGTTAGAAAACTACTAAGGTATGTGTGTAGATAGAAAAACTACTGAAGCATGGGTAGATAGAAAAACTACTGAAGCATGTGTAGATAGAAAAACTACTGAAGCATGTGTATATAGAAAAACTACTGAAGCATGTGTAGATAGAAAAACTACTGAATCATGTGTAGATAGAAAAACTACTGAATCATGTGTAGATAGAAAAAGTACTGAAGCATGTGTAGATAGAAAAACTACTGAATCATGTGTAGATCAGAAAAACTACTGAATCATGTGTAGATAGAAAAACTACTGAAGCATGTGTAGATAGAAAAACTAATAAATCATGTGTAGATAGATTAACTACTGAAGCATGTGTAGATAGATCAACTACTGAAGCATGTGTAGATAGAAAAACACTGAAGCATGTGTAGATAGAAAAACTACTGAAGCATGTGTAGATAGAAAACTACTTAAGTATGTGTAGATAGAAAAACTACTGAAGCATGGATAGATAGAAAACTACTTAAGTATGTGTAGATAGAAAAACTACTGAAGCATGTGTAGGTAGAAAAACTACTGAAGCATGTGTAGATAGATCAACTACTGAAGCATGTAAATAGAAAAACTACAGAAGCATGTGTAGATAGAAAACTAGAAGTATGTGTGTAGAAAACTACTGAAGCATGGGTAGATAGAAACTACTGAAGCATGTGTAGATAAAACTACTGAAACATGTGTATATAGAAAAACTACTGAAGCATGTGAGATGAAAAACTACTGAATCATGTGTAGATAGAAAAACTACTGAAACATGTGTAGATAGAAAAACCACTGAAGCATGTGTAGATAGAAAAACCACTGAAGCATGTGTAGATAGAAAAACTAGTGAAGCATGTGTAGATAGATCAAATACTGAAGCATGTGTAGGTAGAAAAATTACTGAAGCACGTGTAGACAGAAAAACCACTGAAGCATGTGTAGATAGAAAAACTATTTAAGTATGTGTAGATAGAATTACTACTGAAGCATGTGTAGATAGAAAAACTACTGAAGCATGGGTAGATAGAAAACTACTTAAGTATGTGTAGATAGAAAAACTACTGAAGCATGTGTAGGTAGAAAAACTACTGAAGCATGTGTAGATAGAAAAACTACAGAAGCATGTGTAGGTAGAAAAATTACTGAAGCACGTGTAGACAGAAAAACTACTGAAGCATGGGTAGATAGAAAAACTACTGAAGCATGTGTAGATAGAAAAACTACTGAAGCATGTGTATATAGAAAAACTACTGAAGCATGTGTAATGAAGCATGTATAAACCAGTTGTAACATTTAACTTTGAACACGTGACATGAATGATGTCACATATACATGCTCTATTCCACTGTGTTTTTCATGTAGTTAATTTCACAATATTCTATACTGAAATCTTCATATCTTCCTTAGTGTACATATTTGGGTCAAGGGGAGAAGGTTATGAGTAAGAAATGACTGTGATGTGATGTACATTCGAGTAAATGTATCAAAATAAAATGATCGAAAATGTTTACTTTGTCAGACAAAATTTCTTTTTTTCTTTGCATGCACAGATATGAAAGGCAAGTGTATGGTACCTTTAACTTTACACAAAGTTGTCCATATTTCAATCACAAGTTTGCCATTTCTCAATGATGTCAGGTAAAGGGTTTGTAGCATAAAACATGGTTTTTATGGACCTAAATTAAATAAGAAAACATGTTACATTAACAACAAAAACATTTTACAAATTTTTTTCACAAAATAGAGGAAGATCTAGGTTATGACAGAACACATTATATAGCACCTAATTATAGATTTAAAATACAATATGAATAATTTTGTGGGTTGAAAATTTTAAAAGAATATTTTGAAACTAAACTTTTACCGATAGAGTTGTTTAAAAAGTACTTTAAATTTCAAATACATATTTTTTTATACATCTAAACCAAGAGAAACAAAACACATTTGCAATTTACAACAAATATTTGCAAAATTATTTAGCTGCTTAAAAAAACTGGAACTTAAATACAATAAGTGATACTAGTTTATTGCAGATATAAATCAATTTAATGAAGAAAATTTCCATATTTCCAAAACAACTAGTGACTTATAAATGTCATTTAATATCACGACAAAGTTATAGAAATAACACACATATTTTACAAAGATAAACATACCTTGCTTCAAATGACAGTGATTTGTCTTTGGTAAGCAAATTGTTGTTGTTTTGATTGGTAACTTTGTTTCATTGGTCTATAATTACAGAATTACAATTTCTAAAGGTTATTTATAATATATCATTTATGGTATTTTGGCAGGGTTGCTGGAGCCAAGAGGTTGATTGTGGGAAGCTTTACTTGTTATTTTGAAGGGTTTTTTAAGACATGACAGTAGAATGAATGAATAAATGAATAATTTATTTCAACACGCGAACCATTGCAAACATGCAAGTTATTTTCCACATGGGGCGTGCGCAAATTTTACAGAAACAAATTTAACAAGAAAACTAAATTACGCATTTAACAAAAACGACAATTTTTTTTAAAATAGACATGTTTCGACATCTCATAATACCATCTTCAGTATAAGTGAAATAATAAATAATACAAGGTTTATATAAAAGTAATATGATACATAAATTACAACAATAATAAGGAAATAAGATAAATTGATGGGGAGCGTCCGAACGGCATCATGTGATGTCGAAACATGTCTATTTTAAAAAAATTTGTCGTTTTTATTAAATGCGCAATATCAATAGTGCCTTTACGCAGTTACGGTAATACTAATTTAGCA